TAAAATAATTCTTGTGAGTTCTTTAGATAACTTTCATTCACAAAGGCTTTGTAATCTTCTTAAATTGAGATAATCTTTGAAAGAGCGATTGAGGTTGAGAGGTATTTCATTTATATACAATTTCTAGCACCCAAATGCTAGATGTAAGGGTTTAATATTGTATCTGTAAGTAAGAGTTTGTTTCAGTTCAATCTTACATCCATAAGCAAAGAAATCCTCCTAGATTAAACTCTCAAGGGAAAGGATTTAGGGAGTGCATGCACTACATGATAGAAAAACCATTATAAATCACAGCTTGATCTCTTCATCCCTACACCTTTAATTTTTAGTTTTTATATCATTTGTGTGTTGTTTTATTACTTAATTAAAATATAAATTTAGGCAAAAATCTAAGATTTGTTCATGTTATATTTCAATATCCAATTCACCTCCCTCTTCGCCTAGCTTTTGATTTTCAAGGTTGTTTGAGAAGAAATTTAGGGCTCAGAGAAGAGGGGTAAAGGTAAAATTTTGAATTATATAGAGAGAGAGAGAAAGGAGGAATACATTCACATATAAGTTTAACACATCATATTTATACAAAATCTCAAACATTTATTTCTCTATTTTTAATAATTGAAATTTATGACGATTTTTTAAATGAAAAAGATTATATTTAATAAATGTGAATAAATCTCAATAATTAAAAATGAAAATATGAATATTTGAGATTTTATATAATTATAATATGTAAAATTTGTGTGTAAATGACCTTACCCTTATGCAGGCACATGCGCGCGCACACATACACACATATATATATTGGTGCAACTAGAAATCTTTTTTAGGGGTAAAACCAAAATTTAATCCAAAATAAATAATGTTTTATATCAGTTAAAAAGTCAATTAAACAATTTTTTTAAAAGACTTATTTTAAATAAAATTTATTAATTTTTAATAATAAACTAACCATGCTAATAATGTAGTGAAATGCTATTCATTGCAAGAAAACAATGAAAATTATAGTTAGCAAAATGCTAAATTAAAAAAAATGAAAACAAAACAACAGTATATTAATGAATAAACACTTTGTGAGTTTTTCATTCAGTAATCATTATTTTTCCTCATCTTTCATATTATATTTATTTTCCTTATCTTTTTCATCGTCATCAAAATTAATCTTCAATAGTTAAAAAAAATTAAAAAAAGGTTAAATAAGTGAATAAAAGTAGTAAAAATAAAATATAACGAACTAAACTAGTAGTTCTACAATAGTTTAGGGGGGCCTGGCCCCCAGGGCCCTTAGCTCCGCCAGTATATTTATATTCCACTCAATCCATTGAAGCAATGAGATAGTATAATTTACCTAATAAGATTCGTATATCAATATGATTTAACATGGAATAGAGTTTATCCAATCCCAGGAGCCTACTACTGTGGGTTAGAGTAGCATTGGCTAAAAAATAATTCTATCCCATTCTTTTGTTTTACTGTCTAAATATGCCAAAAAAGTCATCAAGTTTTTAGATGTAAAACATGAATTAATGAATCATGAAGAATTTAAAGATAAAGGGTTCTTATTACTCGTACTTCACAAATAATTAACAAAAAATAATAGTAAAAAGTAGACATCTAAAATTTGTTTCCAAATTTATGTGAAGATCAATCAAAGCTTCTCATTCTGATCTTCCCAGGAGAATTTCCATTGCCTGTCGTAAAGAGTAGCCTCCTCATCAGCAATTTTTTTCAGGCTTTGAACATCTTGGGTTCTCCTCAGGACTACCACACTAATCACTGTCACCAACAATCCTACCTTGCAAATAAAATTGCCAGTTTGACCCACCACATCAAGCCCCTTTAAAGCATCCACAATATATGACATGAAGAATCCTACCATTGCAGCTCTGCCCGCAGCAATTTAATTTGACAAAAGTTGTAAGAATGAAGGTGTGGATTTTACTTCTGTTTGGTATTGTTGTTGTTTTTTATTTTGATTCCTTTAAATTCAGCAACTACTAATACCATATTGAGGGTACCTAATTACTATATACAGTAGTTAATATGAAAAATTAAAAAAACAACAGTGGTATTGATTGAAGCCTTAGTTGGTGAAAGTTTTTCCAAGATTTTAACCATTGAGCAGCTCTGCTTCTGGGAGATCAGATCTCTTGAGCCATGCCCACCAGGGAACAATGGAGGTTCTGAAGAGCAGTGGTTCTTGGTTTGTAGAAGCTTCTGGATACACCTCGAGTAACTTTCTCCTCTTTGCTTCTGGAACAACAATATAGAAAACGCTGTTATTATGCATAGACCTTGAACTGAAGTATCAATGGTATTCTTCAAAGACAGCTTTACCTTCAACAATTACTCCATCCCAATCCATCCTTCCATTCTTCACAAACATATTCAAATCCCACGTTCCCTTCTTCCAGCGCTCATCCGAGAACTATGGACCAGAAGGATTGAATCTATCTCCGGTATCATTTGCTCTGTTCATCCGTAAAGCATTCTGCTCCTCTGGTTGTTTGGCCGAGTTGAAGCAACTTTGGCCTTCAACACCCAGAGTGACCGCACACTGAGGCGGTGGCTGCTGTTGCTTCTTGGCGACGTGATGAGCACCACGGGCTCTTTGCATAGAGTCAAATGGAAACCATTGAAACTCAAAACTCTTTTTCTGGAGTTATTATTAGTCACCTTCTCTTGTGGTCATGTGGTGGGAATGGATAAGAAGCAGAGAAGCCCATACTTCGTAATAAATCAAGATTATCTTTTCTCAGGATCATTACCCTTTATGTCAGAGAAGTTATGGAACAAATCGAGAGGTTTCCCCTCCCCTCCATTTCCTCCAAAAGTGTTGAGGTCAGCCACTTTGGCCGGTAGAGGGTCATAATATTGTTCTCCAAAGGGTCCATCGTAGGGTTTGCGGATTGAAACAGACTATTTTTCAACATAACCATAAATGAAACTAACAAACATTCTTCGGAAAGACAATATTCATCCATCACTCATCTGTATGATAAAGGCATGCGGTTTTGCAATGCTTTCCATCTCAAATCCAAAATGAACAAAAAGTTCCTTTCTGCTAAACAAAACTGAAAATTTTTCCATGGTCACAATAAAATAACCCCCCCTCCCCCCTCAACTAATAAACTTAAAAAAGAGTCTGCATGAGAAAAAAAACATATATTACTATGGAGTGATTGAGGTAAAACTTGTTCAAAGCCGATTTCCAGCTGTGAATGTTATTATCTATATGGAGCTACATAGCAAGATAAAGAATGAGAAAAAGTCGCTTATGCTTCCCATCCCCTAAGGAGGGTGGCACGAGCAACACGGTTTACACCAAGAGTAAATGCACCCATCCGGAGATTGCAGTTATGTGATTGACACATGTTCTTGATGTTATGGAAAGCTCGCGTCATGTACCTCTTAAGCTCAGCATTCACCTTGTCTTCATCCCACATGAAACCTTGAATGTTCTACCAAATTGGATACAATTGAAACATATTACATGGTATCCTCCATTAACTCAAACAAGATAACCTTAAACCATCTAATTCATCATTTTATGTAGCTCAGTCATTAACATTTCAGGTTGAAAAGGATTCCATATTAACTGCTATATGCAGCTCATAAAATTAAGTATCATGTGTGAAATGAGCAAAATTAAGCAGATGAAAAGTTGAGACGTAAACATTGTGATCCACTAAATTTTTCCTGCACCAAGCAGATTGTTGGGCAGGACACCAAACCAAAGTGTAACTGTGTTATTGTTCCATTCAATGGTACAAAAAGAAAGGATCTATTGCCTCCAATTTCAAGATTTCTCCAGTAAAATGAATTGATATAGTGGTTGTACCCTTATTTTATTTTAATTTACCTGAACCCACTCAAAGTAGCTGACAGTCACTCCCCCGGCATTTGCATATATGTCAGGAAGTATAACCACCCCTTTCTTAGACAGAATCTGCAACATTAACAATCTCATAAATAAATTAAAATAAAATAAAATAAACCCAAAAATTACAATCTCAAGGAAGAGTAGAAAACAAAGGATAGTATGTGTATGTTACCTCATCAGCTTCTGGATCTGTAGGATGGTTTGCTGCCTCTATGATGAACTTGGCCTTCACATCTGAGGCATTTTCTCTTCAAAGAACAAGAAAGGTAAAACAGACAATTAAATCAAATCAACTAAAGTATAAATGCCGGATACCAAACAGAATGCAAAAAGACCAACATTGCTCAACACACTTCACATGCAGGACTTCTCAATGGAGACAAAACTTCATGTCAGTAATTAAGTTATCTATGTCAAATGAACGATGTTCAAAATTTTTTGTAAAAGGATAATTTGCTTTAAATTAATATCATTTGCCCATCAATGCAGCTAAGGGGAAAACAGTTTAAGACAACTTTTTTCTATCAAGAAGTTTAAGACAAATAACTTGCATTCTAAATGCGAAACATAAGTGCTAAATAGGTAAACAAAGCAAGGGAGGAATGATTTACAAGAATGCATAAGATGATGTTAAGATGATCAGCAAAATAAGCCAACCTGTTCAGAACTCCACCCAACGCACATGGGACAAGAACATCACATTCATGTACAAGCAATTCAGTAGGATCCATGGCATCTGCACCACTGAAATTCAGAAGATTTCCAGTAGCTTCTTTATGCTTCAGCAACTCCAGTATGTCAATCCCATTTGGGTTCTTAATTGCTCCAGTGATGTCACTTACCGCAATAACCTTTCCACCTCTCTCATGAATAAGCCTTGCTGCCCAAGACCCCACATTACCAAAACCCTAGCAAGCATTTATAAGATGCCGTTGGAGAAAGAAGACTTAAGAATAATGAAGAAGGTACTTTAAGACAGTAGGAACAGATGTCAAAATTACCTGAATAACAAATGTTAAACCATTAATTGACTTCACATATTCAGAAAGTAAAGCTTCAGTTGCAAACACAACACCACGACCAGTTGCAGCCTCCCTACCTAGTGATCCACCAAGATCCTAAGATTCAAACAAAAAAACATGTAAGAAAGAGGAAAGACAACATTCTACTCCAATGTGTAATAATTATTGCAGACTTAATACCAAAATTTTGTCATCAGATTTTAGCACTTACTATGGGCTTCCCGGTCACAACAGCTGGAGAATGTCCATGAAATTTTGAGTACTCGTCCAAAATCCAAGCCATGGTCTGCATGTATTTATTTTTAGTAGACAAAGAAAGCTAGATTCTTAGCTCCATGAAATTGAAAATTTTTAATTCTTTCAAAAAATTTGCAAAATTTCGAGAGACACAACAGATTTATCATTGAGTTCTGCATAACCTGTGCATTAGTACCCATGTCTGGGGCAGGAACATCTGTATGTATCCCAATGAGATCATGGATCTTTTGAGTGAATACACGAGTTAGACGCTCTAATTCACTATTACTTAAGTCCTTAGGATTGCATCCAATCCCACCCTTCGCTCCACCATAAGGAATGTTCGCTACAGCTGTCTTCCACGTCATTAATTGAGCTAAAGCATTTACTTCATCAGGGTCAACCTTTACAATGAATTCATTGAACATTCAATTATCCAATCCATAGTCAGAGATCACATAAAATTAATTGAATGCATTTTTGTTTGTGAGGCAAAACACAGAGCTCCTTAACTAAAGAGGGGAAAATAGAATACACGGAGAGCACCAAAACACCAAACTGAAGCAGACTCTGGGTATATAGCTTCATCAAAGGAAGACTGATAAAATTACAACCGTTCAGAAGTCAAAACACGAATTTCATTTAGATCACTTTTACTTAAGATGGATGAATATTGACAATACTTTTTGCAGATTCAATATGAAGTCTTCAGTCATATTTAAAACCATTTCAAAGCATTTCTCCACCATATTAAATCCTTAAAGGAGCATTTTCCCTGAACTTTTTGCAAGTGCAGATGCAGAATACTAATTTTGACTTAATCACATCCAAAACATCTAGTGCTTCGTTGTACACGGTTCACCAAGACCAACAACCAAACCTCTGAGAAATATAATACTACTACTGTATCAGCAAATGCTACTTTGAGATACAAAGAAATTAGGGAAATGTATTGATTTGCTAAAAATCCACTTCCAAACAAGAAAAAGATCTAAACTTTGATCAAATAAACTAATAATTTCACTGACCGCAAACAGGATATTTCAGAAAAGTGTTTTGATTCCCTAAAAGGACAAAAATAAAAACCCAAATCCTAATAAAAAAAAATAGTAACCTTTGGAAAACTACATAAATCTTCAATCACCAAACAGAGAAAAAAGGAAAAAAAAAAAGTGATCACCTCAGGATGATATCTGATTCCTCCCTTCATGGGTCCACGAGCATTGTCATGTTGGACTCTGAATCCAACGTACGAGACCAATGTTCCATCATCCCTAGGAATCGTGCACTCCACCTGATGATCAACCAGAGCAAGATCACCAAAACACAAAAACCCAACGAAAACTCCCCAAAACAAAAGGCAAAAAGGAAGTACCGGTAAACAAAATCAAAACAGAAAACAGAGTTGTCCATCTCCATACCTTGATCTCCCTAAATGGGATCAGCAGACTCTTTTCAAGCTTTGAGTCCAACCCAAGTAAACGCGAAGCAAGGCGGAAATTGCGGTTGGTTGCAACGAGAGCATTCATGGCTGCCTAGAAAACTCAGGAAACAAGAAAAAACCCAGAAAGGAAAATGACCGGAAAATCAAGAGAGAGGGCGTTTGGAGAGTGAGAAAAACCTAGAGAAATGAATTTAAATTTGATAATGAGAATAATGGGGGAGACGGCTATATAACGTGGAAAGTTTAATGGGTATGAGATGAACAGATAACCAATTAATTAGCTCAGCAAACCAAACACTGAGCAAACGAAGAGGCTGGAAAGGCGAAGGCAGCTTGAAGCTAACAAATATTGAGTTTAATGTATTTTCGGCTTGAACTGCCTTTTTTGAGTTCCATGGACCATTTAAAAGCCTTTTATTTATTTATTTTTAAGTTGAATGGAATTTATAATTTATAATTATTAAATTTAATACGAAGAAATCTTTTATAAAAAAAAGGAGATAGTTAAGTTATGAGAATATTTTTTAATTAAAAAATATTTTATCATAAATATATATTTAAAAAATATAAAAAATATATAAATTTGAATATAAATGTTAAGTGATGATGATAATTAAATAATTAATAAATTAAATATTTTTATTTTTTAATAAAATTTATAATAAAAAATATATTTATTATATTTTTAATACA